AATTATTTCTGAAGGATCATGTGACACTGAAGACTGGAGTAATGATGCTGAAAATTCAGCTTTGATCACAGATGCATTTTAAATTACATTTTAAAATATATTAAAATTGAAAATATTTATTTTTAATTGTTATATTTCACAATATTGCTGCTTTTAAGTTTTTTTTTTTTTTTCAAATAAGTGCAGCTTTGGTGAGCATGTGACTTAAAAAAAAGTTCAAATGGATTGTGTTATGTTCTGTAATTGCTGTTAATAAATCTGTCAGAAAAAAATATGCTAAAGTTTCACCTTTAAGGGTACAACAGCCTGGTAGCCTTTTACAAAAATTAACCATGGTTTTATTACAGTAACCACAGTTTATCACAGTATTTGTAGTAAAACTGCAGTAACCACAAATAAACCATGGTAATAGTAATAATAAAACATTTTAGTACATATGTAACACCATGTTTATTTTTCATGAGGCACCCTCAAAGGTGCACCTTTGTAACTTATCTACCCTAAAAGCATGCATACTTGTATGGTACTAATATGCTTCCTTTTAGGGGTATAGTTGCACCTTTGAGGTTACTGCCCCAGTAAAGGGCTAAAATACAATTATAGTATATATTATTTATGACAATGTAAACAAAAAAATGCCTATGAAATGTTAAAAAACATGGCTTTAAAATCTAATATTAAGTGAGTATAATTACTGATTATATTCTTTTAATAATTTAAAAGATCAGTTTAGTTTAGAGGTATCGGTATCAGTATAGATATCGACGATACTGGGCTTGAAAATATTGTTATCGGATCGAAAATAAAATAAGAGGTATCGCCCATCCCTAATTATCACGCGGTATCACAATGAAAATGCAATCTCAATTGTCCTACCCGTAAGTTTTAATGCATTTAGGGAAAATGGCATTTAAATGATAATTTTGCTACAGTTTTTGCTTGGACATGTTAAACATATCTAATCAATTTGGGTAATACAATTTCATTTTAATTTTTGCAACTTATAAAGTGTTAAAATATGTTTTTAATTGACATATTAAAACTAGTGTGGAAAATGGCAAATGTAAATTATATAATTGAATTTTCATTTTCATTTTGGGAAAATGTAAATTTAAACACAGAAATACATTGCCATTTTACATATTGCATTGTCATTTTGCATATTACATTTCAAAATGAATTTTGCTACCCATATGCTTCCATAGAACGGTTCTGTCTTTGAGTGCATTTAAAGTTTGTTTGATTTTTAGGGCTTCTATGAAGAAGTTGCCGTCCCTCTCCTCACTGATATTCAACTTAAATACCCAGGCGGGACAAACCTTACCAAGACCAGCTTTAGCTTGTACTTCAATGGCTCTGAGATTGTGGTGTCAGGACAAATCATAGACAACAGTGTGGAGAGTTTCACCACTGAAGTCATCGCAGTATCAGTAAGATCTTCACTAGTCTTCTCTTTAGTGGCATATTATTAGTATCACTGGTCGATTGTGTATAGGAGTTGGGAATAATAGCTTTGTTTTTATAGTAGGTTATGGGTGAAAGTTGTACTGACAGCATTCCTAATAAAAAATATTCACTAGTATTATTATTTCTAAACAGAAAAGCAACAATGTGACATATCAGGACACTATATTGACAAAAGACCCCAGTGATGTCCCACCTGAGAATGAAGATTTCATGCAGAGATTGTGGGCCTACCTTACAGTGAAGCAGCTTCTGGAGAGACAGTAAGTTTATGAGTGAATTGACATTCTGCGATTTAAAGGCACAATATGTACGTTTTTTTTAATTAAAATATCCAAAAACCACTAGAACAGTTTTATATGTTTTGCTGACTTGTGTACTTACATTATCCCAAATGTTTTGAAGAAAGTTTAAATCCAGAGAAATAAGCAATTTTAACTAGTGACACGAACCGTGTCTATAGTGTCATTGTCGCTTGCCAATGATGTCATATACCCTCGATTTCCGGTTTTGTTTTGTAGAAAACATGGAAACACCAAACACGCTTTAATATGCTATGCACTTTATTAGACAGGTGACGACTGCAGAGTAGCATTATAACAGAACGTTCAAATGTATTTAGTATGATAAAACAGCGCTGCTTTCCCCCACATACGCACGACCAGAAGGAGCGGAAGCGGTCGACTGTGGCATAATAAAAGCTCCGCTGCTTTCGAGCCGTGTGTCACTCTCGTTCAGCGGCCTCGTTTCGCTTCGACGGCTTTCAGCCTCACCCTGCTTCATTCTACTACGTTAATAAATCATTAGCTCATCCATGAACATGATTTCTGCCCGAGTCCCGTCGGATTGCATCGGCTGTGGAGATGAAGACGACAACTCCCATGATCCCACACTCAGTCACGGCATCATCAAACTACGCCTTTGTTTCTTTGTTTGTTTTGAATACGCGCCCTCTAGTGGCAAAAAATTACATATTGTGCCTTTAATTTGAACATTGAGAACATATTTTATCTCAGGGCGATTCTTAAAGGACAAGAGACAGAGGATGAAAAGAAAGAAGCTCTCGAACTCTCCCTGAAATACCAGTTTGTCACTCCCCTCACCTCTATGGTCGTTACTAAGCCACAAGAAGGTGATGTGGAAGTTGCCGACAAACCCAAAGAGGGAGAAGCGCGACCCAGACCTCCAGGTGAGAAGCTACTTCATTTGTGCATCCTACAAGTTAAGACAACAGAGTCAGTTTATATTATAAAGCAGCTGTCTAGTGTTTTCCGACCTCATCAGACAAACTTTTCTTCCGAAATGGAGTTTTGATGGCCGCTGTATATGCAGTGAATAACAGTTTTCCCTTTGTATTTTTTTTTTTACAGTTTTTATAAAGTGTAATATTTTTTAAAGAAGTCTCTTATGCTCATCAAGGCTGCATTTATCTGATCAAAAATACAGAAAAAAACAGTAATCTTGTAAAATGTTATTACAATATAAAATAATGGTTTCTATTTTAATATCTTTTAAATATAATTTATTTCTGTGATGCAAAGCTGAATTTCCATCAGCTATTACTCCAGTATAAAGTGTCACATGATCCTTCAGAAATCATTCTAATATGCTGATTTATTATTAGAATTGTCAATGTTGGCAACAGTTGTGCTGCCAAATATTTTTTTGGAAACTGCAATACTTTTTTCAGGATTCTTTGATGAATAAAAAGTTAAAAAGAACAGCATTTATTAAAAATATAAATCTTTTCTAACAATATAACTCTTTGCTATCACTTCTTAACAATTTAACACATCCTTGCTGAATAAATGTTTTAATTTCTTTCAAAAAAAATAAAGAATACAAATTTACTGACCCCAAGCTTTTGAACTGTAGTGTATATTGTTAGAAAAGATTTCTATTTTAAATAAATGCTCTTCTTTTTAACTTTTTATTCATCAAAGAATCCTGAAAAAAAGTATCACAGGTTCCAAAAAATATTAAGCAGCACAACAGTTTCCAGCACTGATAATAAATCAGCATATACAATTTTTTCCTGTATTTTTGATCAAATAAATGCAGCCTTGATGAGCATAAGAAACTCCTGTAAAAAAACATAAAAAATCGTTTTGATCCTAAACTTTTGACCGGTAGTGTATAAAATAATGAAACAAACAGTTCATGTACTCTATTTATGTAAACTATTACAGAGAATTTAAAGTAGCAATAGCTTATGGAAAAATTTAAAATATATAGGATAGAGACTTGTTTTTTTGTGTTGTTGATTTTTTTTACACTAGTTGATAATTGGATTTAAGTCCTGCATACACCACCAGAAATGTTTTTACACCACAAGAGAGTTATTTTGATTAAAAAAGCTCATAATTGTCAAAAAGTGAAACACATACATGGATACATAGTTCACAATGAGACTTAACATGTATTTAGAAAATGCATGCATTTTTATTTCATGCTTACTTTAATATACGGCATCTGCTTTGAACTGTGTATATATATATATATATATATATATATATATATATATACATTCACAATAAGATCTACAACATGCATTTGGAAAATAGAAGAATTTACTAAAATTGGGTGAATTTTAATTTTATGCCAACGTTAGGATACTTTATCTGCTTTGAAATATCTTTTTTTATTATTTTTTGTTGTTGTTGTATATCCCAGGATCAAGATATGGTGGTGCTAATCCAGGGCGCCGTGGTATGGCTTTTTTTCTTTGTCTTTTTTTTTTCATGGGTACAGGACACATCATGTGTAAAGAAAAATGTGCCCCTTATCTTATAGCTTCCATTTTCAGAACAAGCAGTATTCAAATCACAATGATCACATTATTAAGGCTATCCCTTTTTCCAAATACTGCTTTCAAACCCCTCTATTTTTTATTTTTTTTTAAATATAGATTTTGAAAATTTGGTGGAAAAAGGGCCAGGCAAATGGGGTGCAAAATGCTGGGGTTGCAATAAAACACACATATTGAAAATGAATTTGTAATAAACAGATTTTTGATTCATGCTCACAACATAAAAAAATATATTTGTTTTTTAGGTGGACGATATCGCCTTCATCCTGCTGCATGTAGGTGTTTTAATTTCTTTTCTCTTCTACATTTATCAGCCAGATTGTGTAATGAATAAACGCTGCTGCCTTGTGCATATCATGTATGTCATGTCTAATTATCAATTATTAAACGAATGTAAATGATTGTACTTGGTAATAAATTAAAGTTTTTTAGTTTTTTTTAATGGCTGAATCATCTTCATTCCCAGTTCCCTTTCCAGTAGCTGAGGGTATGTATGACAATGTTGCAATGCTTTCTGTCCAAAAATTTGTAATAATAATAATAATAATTTAATTTCAACTGAATGAAATCAACTGCTCTTTGACTTTCTTTAATTATTGCAAATTTGCCGTATTAAAAGCTACAGTGCATCCGGAAAGTATTCACAGCGCTTCACCTTTTCCACATTTTGTTATGTTACAGCCTTATTCCAAAATGGATTAAATTCATTATTTTCCTCAAAATTCTACAAACAATACCCCATAATGACAACGTGAAAGAAGTTTGTTTGAAATCTTTGCAAATTTATTACAAATAAAAAATCATGTACATAAGGTGCATTGCCATGACACTCAGGTGCATCCTGTTTCCACTGATCATCCTTGAGATGTTTCTACAACTTGATTGGAGTCCACCTGTGGAAAATTCAGTTGATTGGACATGATTTGGAAAGGCACACACCTGGCTATATAAGGTCCCACAGTTAACAGCGTATGTCAGAGCACAAACCAAGCCATGATGTCCAAGGAATTGTCTGTAGACCTCCGAGACAGGATTGTATCAAGGCACAGATCTGGGGAAGGGTACAAAAAAAATTCTGCAGCATTGAAGGTCCCAATGAGCACAGTAGCCTCCATCATCCGTTAATGGAAGAAGTTTGGAACCATCAGGATTCTTCCTAGAGCGGGCTGCCCGGCCAAACTGAGCGATCGGGGGAGAAGGGCCTTAGTCAGGGAGGTGACTAGTCAGGATCGAGGGAAAGATGAATGCAGCAATGTACAGAGACCTCCTTGATGAAAACCTGCTCTAGAGTGCTTCCAACAGGACAACGACCCTAAGCACACAGCCAAGGTAACAAAGTAGTGGCTACAGGACAACTCTGTGACTGTCCTTGAGTGGCCCAGACTTGAACCTGATTGACCGTCTCTGGAGAGATCTGAAAATGGCTGTGCACCGATGCTCCCCATCCAACCTGATGGAGCTTGAGAGGTCCTGCAAAGAAGAATGGGGTGTCCAAAAATAGGTGTGCCAAGCAATACTCAAAAAGACTTGAGGCTGTAATTGGTGCCAAAGGTGCTTCAAAAAAGTATTGAGCAAAGGCTGTGAATACTTATGTGGATGTTTTTTTTTGCATTATTTATTTATTTTTATATAAATTTGCAAAGATTTCAAACAAACTACTTTTACGTTACCATTTAAGGGGTATTGTTTAATCCATTTTGGAATAAGGCTGTAAAATGTGGAAAAAGCGAAGCGCTGTGAATACTTTCTGAATGTACTGTAAATGGAATGAAAATAAATGAAATAAGGCATTAGGTGTGATTTGGAAAAGAAACCTCTTAATATGAAATATTCGAAAATACATTTTAATGAAAAGAGAATTATTTAAATGTAGCTCTAGTTATGTGAAAGGAATGATCATTAAATGTTTTATAATTTATATTATTACAAAAAAATCAGTACAGTTTAATTACTAAATTTAATAATTTCTCTATTTAATTATTTCAGTAATGCATTTGTACAACTTTTTTCATTATTTACACTGAACAAAATGATAAATGTAACACTTTTGTTTTTGCCCCCATTTTTCATGAGCTGAACTCAAAGATCTAAGACTTTTTCTATGTACACAAAAGGTCTATTTCTCTCAAATATTGTTCACATTATTACATTATGAGTGCTGTGAATTTTTAATAAACTCACTTGCATGAAAAGCTGTATTACTGCATACATAGTCTGTCTTTGACTTTTTAATGACTAAACCCTTTTTTGTTGTTGTTTAGAATTCCATGATCTCAGTTATTCCTCCGTTAATCTATTGATCTCCCGTGGTATGTTTGAAAACACTGTTACTTTGATTCACTTTCAGTCAGTCACATTCAATGTTACGTCAACACTGATATTAGGGGTCTCACTTGGGACTTGGGGGCTAGCGCTCCCCAACCCATCTCGCTGGCTCGTTTGTTTGACTGGGCTATGCGATTCAATTTGCCAGGTGCCCTCCCAGGTTCAGGGGCATCCTCTTTACGTCAGTTATGGACAAGGATGGCTGTGTTCTGTATGCAGAGAATGTAGTCCTTCTGGTGAAGGATATGATAGAATTCGTCCCTCCAGCTGAGATGAAATTGGGACTTTACAGCCCTTATTTAATCACACCCAAGAATAGCGGTGGGTTACAACCAATCTTGAATCTGTCCCTATACAGGCTTCTGTTCAAGATGCTGACGCAGAAGTGCATTCTTTCATGCGATCAGCACCAGGATTGGTTTGCAGCAATCGACCAGAAGGACTTTTATGTCTGGATTCTGCCTCAACACAGCCCGTTTATTCATTTTGATTTTGAGCTCATTCCACTTGGAGTGTTGTCTCCTCCTTGGCATTGGCGCACAGTGCCTCTCTAGCAGACATCTGCACAAAAAGATACAAATACCAGTGAACTTCAAGTTATGCGCTATAGTGAGAGAGAGAGAGCGAGAGCTTCCACTGTGATGCACTTTCATGACAGCCCGCTGAAACACGGGCAAGGACAGAATTTACTATAGATTTCTATAAAGTTCTCAATATAATGCTATGTTTATGGCAGATTTGTTCTATATTTTCAAGTGATTCCTGAAATTGCCTGGCAAAGCCATACAAAGCTATAACCAATCAGACTTTTTTTTTTCCACAATCATCGTTTTCATGAGTGATTGTCCCTGTCACGGCCGCGTGCTCAATCGCTGTTGTACATCCCTACCTTATACTGGACTAGGTACCCATACATTAGGTTCCGTTGGGTAATCCTATATGTTCTTCCACGGTTTGGTTTCCCTCGGTAAATCCGAGTTTTTCCCTGTACAGGTCTGCTTTCGTTTCTGTTGTGTTCCCCTGAACTGGGGTTAGGACAATATGTTAGACTTTGCTACGATCAGTCTTATGATTCAAATTCCTGCCAGCACTGCAACATCAATTTCATAACACAGTTCTGGTGCTTTTCATAGGGACCCCTAATGTCAGTGTGGATGTAATGACGAATGTCACTGACTGAAAGGGAACGTCTCAGTTACGTATGTAACCCTCGTTCCCTTAAGGAGGGAACAGAGACGTTATCTCCCTCATACCACAACCGTGAACTGCTCTGAATGCCGTGATGCTTCTCTGCCCCTCAGCACAAACCTGAATGAGTGGATGCACACCGTCATCTCATATACCCATATGTTCAGGGAGAGGCTTGGCATGCAAATTCCACTTGCCAATAGTCATTGGCCATTTCTTGTAATGCTCAGAGGTGATTGGGGCTCCTAAGTGAGACCCCTAATGTAAAGTGTTGATGTAACATCTCCATTCCCTCCTTCAGGGAACAAGGGTTACATTCATAACTGAGACGTTCTGCCTTATGGGTAAATGCATACAAAATGTACATTACGTCTAATTTTATCGGTTACACCTTCTCTTAGTCTTAGATCAAAGCCCCATACTTCCAGATATGGTACGTGTTCCCGTTACTATGCAAGGTACATAAAGATCTCTCAAACTTAATTATTATGGAATTTTATATAATAATTATACAGTCAAACCAAAAATGATTCAAACACCAGATATAATTTTTGATATTTTTTTTACTAGTGGGTGCAGGACACTAGTTCATTTATGTAAGTGATGATAGCAAAATAAAGTAAACTGTGATATATTATACCCAAAATTTATTCACACAGTGGACTACCAGTAAAGCTGATATAAATTTGGGATCAAAAATTTGATTTGACACTTTAACCTGACCATGTTTTGTTAATTACCTTTCTATCAAAGTTATCTGACATTATCAAGATGAATTGGTTCTGACACAGTTTAACTCTTGTCATATTTTATTAACATTTTCTAAACTATAGCAAATAAACTGTGATAATGTGAGAAATGTTGAAGGTGTCTGAATACATTTTGGTTTGTTTGACTTTATGCTGCATTTGGTTATGTTCTGTCTTAGCTCCAACAGTTCGTAGCAATCGTTTCCTGCTGCCTGTTGTTGGTCAGTCTAAGCCACTCTGTTTTGACGTTCCTGTTCCTCACAAACTCAGACTTCTACAGGATTCAGCTTCAGGTTTCTACTACACATTTACAACGAACACATCCTTTTAGAAGTCCTCTTTTTCTTGAATTAAATACATTTACTTTGTGTCCTAGAGTTCTCTATGAATGGAGAATCCATGACTGGACAAAATGGATTCCATCAAATTACTTTTCATTACAAAACAAACCATCATCTGACTATAAACACAACTTCTGTCAGATACCATGACGGCCAGAATCAAGTTGAGTTCTTGTGGGGCCAGGAACTGACCCAACACAATACTGAGGGGTAAATACTACTCAAACTATACGTGTTTCACGAAACTTGTGTATGTTATAGCCTATATGTTAACCTGAGAGATAGAATTCATTCTTCAGCTTTTCTGTTTCATCAGCGTGTCTCTGATTCTACGGAGCAATGAAATAGAAGTCACCATGGGAAATATTCACGTCGTTATTCTTCTCCATAAGGAAAAAAGGGAAATTTTTCTGTGGCCTGCTGTTCAGCAACAGCCAAAAGATGTCAGTTTGACAGGCATTTTAGGTAAGAGTGCTTCACTTATTAAACATTTAAGGACGCATCAACAATTTAGCAATCAAATAGTACATTTTGATTTGTAACTTGCTTTATTAAACCAACATGGGTTAAATAACTGTGGGTAATATTAAAGGAAAAACTGATGCTTCATATGAGGAGATTCAAGGATCACAAACACCAACTCTAAAGATAAATGACCAGGAAGTGAGCACAAGCTGGTATGTGATAAACAATACGTTCACTGCTGATTTTTTTTTGCTCGTATTATACATCTGTTTAATCTATGAATGTGTCTGTAGGGAGGACGTCACAGACTACAGACTTTCTTCAAAGCCGGTTATCAAATGCTGGCTTGTCTCGTTCTACGCTGCGATGCAGAAAGACATTTCTGATTTCACTGTCACTAAGCTGTAGAGTTCAAAGCTGGCAAATGATAAACTGGGACAGAGCATGTTTCTATGTAAAACACTTGCTGATGTTTGTGTTGAGTGTATTTTTTTTCTGTCATTGGCAAACATGATATCTCTGACACACCTCAGCATTTCAATAAATTCATCAACATAAAAACAATGTGTTAGAATCTGGAATTTTATTTTAACACTAACACAAATTATCCCTCTTTAAAATCTAAATGACTGTAAATCATGTGCATTTTAGGATTGGGGTTTAATCGAATAAACATTTCTGTCCATTAAACACTTAAACATTTGCCCAAATATGATATATCAAAATATGTAACATCTATCACATTAAACATAATATTCATTACTAGCATTTTCAGGTGAAACAAGTTCATACTTGTTTACATTAGCAAGTGACATAAATTTATTTTTATTTAAAAGTTTTAAGGTTTTATTTGGAACTGCATTAAATGCAGGTAAAAATGACAGCTATTCTTAATTTCTCTGTTTAGTCCTAACGAAAAAATGCATCAGATATGTGTGTCTTGAACATACAAATGCTTAAACGCATACTGTCTAAAGGTTTACATCATAAACCAAGTCATGGTGATTCATTAGATTTAACAAAGACTTCAAGGATGTGGGTATTTGAGTCAGCAGTTACACAAACAATCAAAATTATGTACGGGACACTTTATCTGTATGCTTTGACCTTTGTCTTTGTGCTTTAAACTTATCTGTTCACGTATTTATGACTTACTGTAACACTTCCTGTAAAGGAACTTGAAGGAAATTTAAGATTACGTAACTCTTATTTCTCAGTATTAATTAAAGGGGTTATTCTCTCTCTCACACACACACACACACACACACACACACACACACACACACACAAATCTGTCATCATTTACTCATCCCCATGTCATTCCAAACATCCCCCTGTATTTTTTTTTTTAACTCTGCAGGACACAAAAGATGATATTTTGAAAAATGTCTTTTCATTTTATGGTCAAAAACATTCTTCAAAACATCTTTTGTGTTCCGAAGGTTCCATAGTTTGGAATGACATGAGAGTGAATAAAATGGTCAAAATTTTAATTTTGGGAGGTAAATGTGATATAATTATATTATTTTAACATAGCAAAGCTGTGCAAACAAATTGTCAACTCCCAGGCTAAAACATGGAATTAAGGGCCTGGGATAGAAAGAATCCAAAGACAGAAGCTGGACGTTATATCTACTGATAAAACTTGACAGTTCACTAAATGGGTGGTTAAACAAAGCTCTGTGTTTATAGGCACTGCGTCACTGCTGTCAGGTCAAAGGCCATTTGACTTGCCTCTCTCCGGCTGTTTAAGTTTCCGTTTGAAGCACGGCTTTCCACTCGAGATTTTTTGAAGAATACCCTGGGAGTTTCAGCAGATTGATACTGTGGATTACTGAGCAAATAGACATTGAAATTGTGAAATTAATCTTGAAGTTGAAGAAAAATCCAGCAAATCCTTGGAATGCATCTGTAATCACTGAAGTCACTACAGGCAAGTGCAACATTGCTATGGCTTTGCATTTGCCATATCTGTAAAGGAATTACAGAGGAAATAAATCTGTGGAACGACAAATAAACAATGATTTTGGGCAATTTTTTTGTTTCTCCTGAAGAGAACTAAACCAATAGCAGTATTTCTGCACTTTGAGTCCTGCAATCATTAACTATTGATGCATTCCAGAGCGTTTTATCAAGACGACTGTACAGTACGATCTCTTCTGGACCAGAGGATTGTTGACAAATGTTTGAACATTTTCTAATGGTCTGAGAGACGCCTCAAAAGGGAAATAGTAGTAAAACTTTGTCCAGTTGCTTACAGTATTTGCTGCACGAATGTTGTAGAACTGTTTGGTAGAGAAAATGGGTATTTTAAGAACTGATCACTGAAAGGTTCTTTGAGGAACCCCACATTTTTCTTCTGTGTGAACCCTTTATTTTAAAGATCACACCTAAAGAAATATTTGATGAATTTGCAAATCTCTTTCGTAGTTCAAATCTTTTTTTGCTTGAGAGGGAATATTAAATCATAAATTTAAAAGGACAAGGCAGCTTTTGAGAAAAACAGATGTAATTCCCAATTTTAACATGTTTTCTTTTGATTATACCTCTATGTTAAAAATATATTTTCAGTATGGAGGCATAATGAAAGAACTGCAATTAATTTACAATTACAATTAATCCAGAACGCGGCAGCAAGATAAATGTTTAATGAGCCGTAAAGAATGCACGTCTCACCTCTGTTTATCAATTTGCACTGGCTACCAATAGCTGCTCGCATAAAATTAAAAGCATTAATGTTTACCTACAAAACCACCACTGCACCCCTTTACCTAAATTCATTACTTCAGACTTATGTGCCCTCTAGAAGCTTGCGTTCTGCAAGTTAACGTCGCTTTATTGTGCCATCCCAAAGAGAAACAAAATCACTTTCACTGACTTTTTCATTAACTGTTCCCTCCTGATGGAATGACCTGCCCAACTCAATCCCAGCAGCTGAGTCTTTAGCCATCTTCAAGAAACGACTAAAAACACATCTCTTCCATCTTTATTTGACCCTCTATTCTTTAAAAAAAAAAAACCTTGCCCCTTTTAGACTTGCACTCTATTCATTTACAGCTTGATTTCTTTATATATATATATTAAAAAACTAACACTAGCTTTTCTTATCTTTTTGTATTCTATCTATTTGTTTTCTTTTTATTTATTATACAATTAACAAAAGCAAAAAAGGCCTCTAACACTAGCTTGCTCTGTTCTTCTTTGTATTCTATCAGTTTTCTTTTATTTATTATATAATTGAAAAAAAAACTGAATAACTGAATATATAACTGAAAAAAAGATAACTGAGACTTGTTCTAGCACTTGCAAATCATTGCTCTTTTGTTGACTTTGCTTCCATTGTCCTCATTTGTAAGTCGCTCTGGAGAAAAGGGTCTGCTAAATGACTAAATGTAAATGTAAACTACATGTTATGATCTACATTTGGAATTCTCCCCTTTTTTATCCATAACTGTATTGCAAAATTAATCTGCATTCAATACTTGCAGTTCTTGCATTTTAAGCAAACATTAGACATTAGACATGAGAATATTTGTATGGGTCAAATTTATCGATTTTTCTTTTATGCCAAAAATCATTATTAAGTAAAGATATTAAGTAAAGATAATGTTCCATGAAGATATTTTGTACATTCCCTTCCGTAAATATATCAAAACTTAATTTTTGATTAGTAATATGGATTGCTAAGAACTTCATTTGGACAACTTTAAAGGAAATTTTCTCAATATTTGGATTTTTTTGCACCCTCAGATTCCAGATTTTCAAATAGTTGTATCTCGTCCAAATATTGTCCTATCCTAACAAAACACCAATAGGCCATATACCAATACCAGAATGACTATATATATATATATATGCTTAATAACCTTTTTTTATATAAAATCAATAAGGTTACAATTAAGGGGTTGTGCTGTGTGTTGTACCCAACAATGCCCTTTAGCATTCAATATCCATTTTTACATTTTACATACTAAAAAACACTAATCAGTTAAATAAAAGCTACTAAACTATTTCACATCAATAAATAAGAAAACATATTTTGACATACCATGATAATCCCCTGCACCTGTGATGTGAAAAAAAACAACACAAATTAAAAAAAAAATTATTAATTAAGAACTATTACATTTATCAATTTCAATAAAGGTAAAAAATTAATTTGGCTTACTGTTGTGCACTTGTAATGCTGAAATATGAAAACAAAGACATATATATATCTTGCATATATTTAGAACATTTAAGACAAGGGATGTTTACATTTCTGACCACTTTACACATACAAATGCATTTTCATATTCATAAAGCTTACACAAAAAAATTACAAACATCACCTTTACTAAAAAAGCTTGCTACAATTATTCATTAAAACATGCAGTACACATTCTCAACAAAATAAGGGAGTCTTTATCATCAATGTTCCCTCAAATTTTTTTTTCTTTGGGCGGACATTTCGGGCACCTGAGCAAAAACATTGTTTTTTTTTACAATATAATACACTGCCGTTCAAAAGTTTGGGATCAGTAAAGTTGAAAGAAGTTTCTTATGTTCATCAAGGCTGTATCTATTTGATAAAAATACTAAATATTATTTCACAAAATAAAAAATTATATTTAAATATTATTGCAATTTAAAATAAAAGTTTTCTATTTTAATATACTTTAAAATATAATTTATTTATGTGAAGCAAAGCTGAATTTTCAGCATCATTACTCCAGTTTTCAGTGTCACATGATCCTTCAGAAATCATTCTAATATGCTGAATTATTATCAGTGTTGAAACTGTTGTGCTGCTTAATATTTTTTGGGACCTGTGATATATTTTATTTAAAAAAAAAAAGTTAAAAAGAACAGTGTGTATTCAAAATAGAAATTTTGTGTTACAATATACACTACTATTCAAAAGTTTGGGGTCAGTAGATTTCTTTAAAAATCTAAAAATCTTTCTTTCTTTTTTTTAAAGAAATTAATACTTTTATTCAGCAAGTATGTGTTAAATGGATAAAATTGATAGTAAACACTTATATTGTTAGAAAATATGTCTATTTTGAATAAATGCTGTTCTTTTTAACGTTTTATTAATCAAAGAATCAAAGAAAAAAGTATCACAGGTTCCCAAAAAAAAATATTAAGCAGCACACAGTTTCACTGTTGTAAATCAGCATATTAGATCAGCAACACTGATTAAAAAATCAACATATTAGAATGATTTCTGAAGGATCACGTGACACTGAAGACTGGAGTAATAATGCTTAAAATTCAGCTTTGCTTCACAGGAATAAATTATATTTTAAAGTATAGGTATAAAAATAGGAAACCAATATTAGTAACCAATAATAATAAAAAAAAATAAAAAATAAAAAATAAATAAATAAATATATATATATATATATATATATATATAATACAGCCTTGATGAGGGTCAATTATTTATTAGGTTTATAATATACGCCTAACATAATATAATAGGCTAATATCAAAACAAACTGAAGCATTTAAACTGATAGAATAGAACAGAATAGTATAGAATAGAATAGAACAGAAAACAAACTGAAGCACAACTTAAA